AGTAAATGTCATGGACCAATCTAACGTTTCAAATAAAGAACCGATGAAATTTTATGCGTTTTTTTTAAAAAAAAAGTTATCAAGCTCTTAAAAAATCACCCGTTATAAAAGGGTAAATAAACGACACCAGCTTGCTGGCTCCATCAAGTGACTGTACCATCAGACTCGAAGCATATAACTTACCAGCATGCTGGTACAATATTTATATCTTTACAAAGGAGGTCGAGGAAAGGTCGAAATTATTAGAGCCGAAATTTCATAATTTGCCTACCATTTTGTTAAACATTGTTTTTTTTTATGCAAGAATTTATTTAATCGACCTTTAGTTATAGATGTTTTTTTCTGGTTTCTTTTCGAGCCTGAGGTCAAGTTTTTATTTTTGTTTCTACAAGTGTCCGATATTTCGGCTCTCAACGAAAGCCATCTTCAGGGACTATTAAAAGAAAAAAGAAAAACTTAAAAGCAAAACTAACATAAAGCATGAAGCTGGACTTCGACAGCCACTTGACAGCATAGGATGAAATCATCTACGCAAAAATAATTTATATTTTCTTTGGTCTTTTGTGCTTTATGTTAGTTTTGCTTTTAAGTTTTTCTTTTTTCTTTTAATAGTCCCTGAAGATGGCTTTCGTTGAGAGCCGAAATATCGGACACTTGTAAAAACAAAAATAAAAACTTGACCTCAGGCTCGAAAAGAAACCAGAAAAAAACATTGTTTTTTTTTTTTTAATTCACAACTGCAATATCGTGAACTTAGTCTTCCACAAACACGGCTTTGACCCATATAGGGCAGGAAATTTCCGCCAAAATACTTTTTACTTAGAAAATTTAGCTAATTTCAGCACTCACTACAGCATGCTGGTACAATCATAAAATGTTCAAATAATTCTTCCCACATAATTTTGGCCAGTTCAGTGATGAACGAGGCGAACACTTTCACCAAGAAATAGCTACAATTAAACGTTTCGGAGGAAAAAATAAATAGCAATAATAATAAGGCCAACAACCGTGCCAAATTTGGTGGAAATTGGTGGAGCGGTTACCGAGATATAC